GTTAGCATGGGGCAGCTGGTCAAGCTAGCTTCATGCAATCTACAAATCGATTTAAAGGAGCAGAATGTATGTAGCATAGTCTGGTGGGTAATACCGGCCGAATAATAATGCGAAGAGGAATATGCCGTAGCTCACTAATATAGAGGTAAGCGGAGCCAATGTCCAAATACGAGCTCGCGCACAGGCGTACCGAGGAGCACGTGAGCTGTCTGCTGCATGCGAAGGTCACCAGCACAAGCGTGGAACGACCTTCGACTGTTTTGCCAAATTTGGGAATCGGGTGCAAACTGATTGGCCAGCAAATACAAGCCCGAGTCAACGGAGGCGAACCATTTTGCCAAATATGGGAAATCCGTGGAACGGAATTAACTCACATTGGCTGAGAGCCAAACGCTTCCAAAATTAGTATGTTTCGTTCACCAATAAATAGAACTGACCTGTCGTGTAGAATAGACTCCCTGTTTACCGAGCCTTGGCCTTCTGTATCCCGTCGGTTGGTTGGGCGCGTGACTGAGCAATCCGGCGGTCGTAGTCTCGCAGGCGCAGAATAGCAGCAGTGCAGCAGTACGAAGGCAGCTTTACAACACTCACCGTACAAGCCTCCACTTGGGACGATAGCAAGGGCATCATAGGTCATGATGAATACAACAGTGTAGTGAGCAACACATGAATTCATCGCGAAATACAACCGAGTTCAGTAAGCCCAATAAAGGTAGGTTAGATGTGGCTCATCCGTTCTAGGCAGGTGCAATAAAGTTGCTACATTGCACCAAGTCAGTAGTTAATCATCCCAGAGTGAAACTGTACCCAAGCGCATCTTACACGAGCGATAGAATAAGGATGACATAACATAGATGGCGGAGAGGGAGTAAGCATCTTGTCAGGTTAGTAGAAAAATGGTGCGATTAATTCCACTGCTATTCATCAGCTCAGCGGTGAGAAAACGGGATTTATAGCTACGCTCACTTTAACAAAGAAGTAGGAGCACAGTGGGACAGTGATGACTAATTGTTGGTGTGTGCTGTGAATGCCTTTGTTTGTCTGCCTCTACCATCCATTGAGCTATACTGGGTGGTGTGTTTTGCACCTCATACCAAATTGGTCAATGGTTAGAGGCCAGACAAGCTCAGTCTCTTGGTCCTCTGGTTAGGAGTTTTAATGATGGTGGCTTTAGGCCATAAAACGGCCTCTATGTACCCCGGTGTCAATACCACGCTAACTTGTTGTCAGGTTTTTGAAACGAAGACTTTGGTCTTTGCCTTGAAACCTGACTGCATCCTGCCCACAGTACAATGACCTTATCTTGCCGATACCTGCGGTTGGCTACACTTGTTAACATAGCGAAGAGCCTGCCGCTACGGTGTTTGTGTTGAGAGTTTATTTGTCCCTCTCCCTCCCGTTTGTCTTCCTCCTCTAACCACGATGGGTAGTACGACACTAAACATCATATCAGTTACGGTTCCAGTGATCGATTTGACCAAGATTCACTTTAGTGGGAATTGTCGTCTACGTTGAGATTGCGCTTCACAATCCGTTCACGCAACGCGTACTACGTAGTGACCTTCCAATCATGTTACTTATATTTGTCGTTTTTATCTCGGATTCTTCACTGTTTTTTATATCATTTTTTGTATTGCGGCGCTATATCCGATGTATGTTTTTCACCTTCAGCTCACGTGTAATGTGATGATTTGTGCATGAGGTAAGACGTAAACTGCAGTGTGCCACTCTTACAATGGGCCAGGTTATTATGTAATTTATGTTGGAATCCTAAACTTAGCCCAAAGCGTTGAACTTACGACAGTTCGATACTCAGTTTGGAGCAATGTTCTTGGTTGGTGAAACACGATATTTCCCTTTGTAGTTATTTCATAAAATATCGGAATACTTTCAAGTACTAATTAATCCGGTTTTCGTGTAATGCTTTAGCTAATTTGGCATTATGCCAATTGAGAGCGAACATAACCCTCATATGGTTTCAGCCTATCCTCCTTCTGAGAGGGCCTACAGCTATACGCGATCATTTTTCAGAGCTGATACAGAACTTGCTGTGCAAAATTGAAAGTGCTGGAATACCCTATACGCAGGTTTTTCACCATATTCTCAAGGGTTCTCGCAGTATTCAGTATAATATACTTCAGGGAAAGGGTGCATTTATTCGTGGCAACACTGTGTACATCAGCCTAGATTGCTAGTTACTACATACCACACCATAAGTCCCACTTATTCACGGTTTGCCCTGCATCTTATTCAGAGCAAGCTGCAGTCCATTTGAATGAGATGTGTCGACGACCTCGATGTTGTCCGCAAGCGCATTAATTCATAGTTCACGTATAAAAAAGTGATAGGGGTCTAGAAAAGTCCTTGTACAAAGCCACTAGTAACTGATTGGGGGGAAATGTAGACGCGAAGTGCGCAAGTACTGTTTTACCTGATAAATAGAACCGTGAGTGATAGATCTGTGATGGAAAACGATGGATGGATAATGGAAAACCGATGATGAGGCACGCGATCAAACGATTGAAGTGCCCAGAAAAATCATTAATATGTGGGCTCTAGAAGCAACGACTAATGTAATTTGAAGTTTTCCAGTCGATAAGTTGGGCTAAAACGTGTGGTCGGAATACCGTGTTGGGACATGTTATTTAGGTTGCTTTAAAGCGGAATGTTAGGTTTTTGGCTCTTGAACTATTCGCTCTATAATGCTAGAAATCAATGAAGCATGGTTAATGGGGCGGTGGTTGGTAATAGTACGCTGGGGATCGCTGTTTTGTCTTGGTATAATATTGGACCTAATGATTTGGAAAAGTCATTGATAAGACAAACAAGTCAGGAGTAGAAACCGGATATCAGGACTATCAACATTAGTTGATACAGGTCAGAAGCTAATCGGGCCACAATATGTGGACGGTTTGATCCTGGTTGGAACTGTGTGTAAGAAAGAGTACCGGCTGCCTTAGTTTAGATCTTTTTTTGGAATAGGCGAGTCTTCAGTTTCGAAATTTCCATCGTTAATGTGACCACAAGCAACGTATCCTTACTTCGTGCTGCACGATGATTTACGGTGTTTATCGCACATGTTTTTCTACTACATATTCCCTTACCTTGTGCGTAGCAGCAAACTCAGTTATTCCGACTTCCCCACGTATTTGCATTGGATCAGGTCGCTAACTACTTTTTGTCCGTGTCGAAGGGTCAAATACGGCCAAGTAAGGCATATTTACTGGGTGAATCTCAAATATTTGATGCTTTCAATAATGGCTTGCGCCAACTGTTTTGTATTATTTGTCTTCGTTCTGACTGCTCCACTTGTGTAATGACACCACAACTTCAGTTTCATTCACACCAATACGTGCGCTTAGGCATGCAATCTTGTTTGCAGTTCGTTTAACTCCATCGAAATATCATCAAAAACGCTTAAAAATCCATGGCCTATCAACGCTGATTTTTCAAGCTTCCACCTGAGGTCGTAAAATGCGGATAACCCACAGCAAATTGGAACTCGCAAATGTGAAGTATCAATGCGTAATCCTTCTCGGAATCTAAGCCTGAAGTAATGTACACCCAACATTGTTTCGAACTGCTACACTATTTGCACTTCCACTTCCGGCAAACTGTTCCACACATTGGCCACTCACCGTTCAAAGCAGGGGGTAAGAAATTCGTTTCAGCTCTAGCACCATAAGAGTGTACCGTTGTTCGCGTTTGCTACAAGACATTTGCAAGCAGAGCAGTGATCTCAGCATGGGTATGTCACCCGATGTAGAATGCGGTAGGTTGTGACGATAGGCCAGGGTCCCAGTCTCTCACACTTGTCTCCGTACAGTTAACTCCGTTCGATCTGACTGCATACTTCCGAACCATGTGGCGCGTAGGTTATATTGCTGTACCGCTGATTTCACCCCTGCTCTCTGCGCTGCAAACCGGTCGGGAAAGAAACAAAACACTGAAACCTCCTAGACCGAAGTATATTAGGCACAGAACACGGTTCATTTTATAGGTCACAATCCATCATCTGTTGTAAGTTCCTGAGCCGACTCACTTGCCTGGACAGATTTCAAACCTGCTTGCGGTCTGCACTGGCCAGCTGTTGTCGCGCCCTGTCACGTAGTGACCTGTTTCATGTTGCCGGACTGATTTCATCAGCTGCCCGCGTGACTTAGCTGTGTTACCGCCGGTCGGGTAGCAGCCCGGGTGATGATGACGAACCGATTACATCAGCTTCCGGTTTGACCATGGCAACAAGTTTCAGCCGCTCACGTGAACTGGCTAATCTCGCCCTGCAAGAGTGCACCATCGTAATCAGCCGTTTCGCCTCCGTGTCAAATATAATCCCTCAGTTGACAGTTATAGGTAGAAATTCGCCACATCTAGACTCACTCAGACAGCCGTCACACTCCCGGAAAAGCACTGTACGCCCGTTTCATCCTTTCGGGAATCGTCAGCAGTGCGCATTTCATCGCATTCAGATAGGGCTTGAACCCGCAACCCGACTGTTGCCAGTCCGTGGTTAAGACCACATCTAGTAACTAATTCACGATGGTCGTTACCGTTCCCCGGTAGCTCAGTTGTCTCAACCACGGACTGGCAACAGTCGAGTTGCGGGTTCCAGCCCTATCTGGATCCGATGGAATGCGCACTGCTGACGATTCTCGAAAGGATGAAACACGCGTACAGTGCTTTTCCGGGCGTGTGACGGCTGTCTGAGTGATTCTAGATGTGACGAATTTCTACCTATGCCATTCAACTCCTGCTACTACTCTTCTGTACTTAGTTGACAGTTAACCGCGTCTGTGCGTTCATCCATCTGCCTTTATGCTTTGCATGGCACTTTGTTGCCGGAGATCGCTATGTTTGTGAGCAACGAAACTTACTTGATTGGCCCTCAAGCGCATCGTTAACCCACAAATACTTTATCTTCACTTTTTGTCTCACTTCGATTCTCGATTGTTACTCGCATAATACAGTCCTTTCTCGTATCTCCCTTCCTCACTCTTAAGTTTCCAAATCCTCATCGAAGGACAGTGGTATGGCCTCATCCACAGTGCTCTATCCAAACCAAGCCCTACCTCCTCCAGTGTACACTAATCTAACCCAGTTGGCTGACGCTGCACAACGCAAGTTCTCCATACCCCGTAGTAGTGGTCTTTGCAACCCCAATCGCCAGCTATTACCGGTGCATCCATCGGCGGGAGGTGGGTGTTCAGGGCACGAGTTGACCCCCCGCGACTATTTACCAAACGCAACTCGACCACGCCCCACGGGTCACATGTCATCGGTCCGCTCTGTCCCATACGATTTCTTCGGCACAGCGGAGTCACCGAACTCTCGCGCGGGGCCCCTTGATTCCCGGACCTGTTCGAATGGCTTGGATCCGTTCAGTGTTGAAATGGACGAGTTGGACAAATTAGGTGCCACAGGTCAGTTACACTCATCTGCCATTCACGACCCATAGTTGCCATTTGCGTGCATGGCACATGATCTTTCCCTTTCATCATGGAGTGAATGATCCAATTTCTCCGTCAGTCAACCGTGAAGAAATCACGAACGTTGTGAGTTGAAAATCTGTTGAGAAGCTTAAATAGAAGCAAGCAGCTAGTTAACGGTTATCTTTGTAGTTGACCATAAATGCCCACTACTCTCTAGATTTGGGCTATGAAGTTAGTTTCGGTAGCACCATGCGGGATGTTGACGAGAAATACTGGCAGTACTCCATTTCTAGATCTAACTCACACGGGTTCCGTAGTAAACACCTAGTTTGTTATCCATCGTACTGTCAACTGCGTCTTTGTTTTCAGCAAAATTATTTCTGGATAACGCAATGGATTCTTCTCCATAAACTGACCAAAAAGTATTGTGGCAGTTGATACGGTTTGCCGGAAAACCGTCGTTTGTGTCAGATTTTGCATCTTTCTGGCTTTGGACCTGGACTTGCGTGCTGTTTCACTCCCATTTTGCGCTTACTGCTGTGAGAACAACCAGTTGTAGGTAAACTCGTGCGCAGGCATTTGCGCATTCACCGTTTTCTGGTTACCACTTTTTTGATTGTTTTACGCCGGTGAATACATGTATGGTCTGGTCAACGCAGAAGTATCGTCTGGCTATGTTTTCGCCTTACTCCTGCTAAATTCTTCTCCATGTTCGGTTAAGTCAATCAGATTGACCCATGCTTATCCCCGTACAACATGCGGTGAGCTCAGTCGCTTTGATTCTCATCACCTTGAGAGTTAGACTGCCAGTAAAACTGTAAATAGTCAGGAGCAAGGGTACTGTTTCAAGAATTTTACCGGTTTCACCACATCTCTTTATGCGATAGAGTTTCTCTAAACACCGGGTTGTAATCGGTTCTGAAGCTGTCATCCAGTACCATGGTTACTCCATACTTCTTTTGCTATTTTTTCTCTTATCTGCCGCTCTGGATCCTAACCGAAGCATGTGCAGTCTAAGCAACCAACACACCTCGGTAGGCAATCCGGTGCGAAGTCGTGTCCGTTATTAAGGCCCAGCTAGTCGACATCAACCAGCAGTCATCCAGCAATGTTATGCTAGATAAACTCACTAATAAGAAATACTAGGAGTAGTGGTTGGACATTTTACAATTCAACAAAATACTTTGTGCAAACACTTTGTGCAAACACCTGCACTGTTAATGATTCGTGATCACAAACAACTAGCTATCGTGTTATCACTGGGTGACATCGAAGAAACAGCTTCTCTACGGTTTCCACTACTCTACACCATAATCAGTCGTATCCCGCTAAGTATCCAGCATCTCACACTAAATAGGCACTGGCTGGGTGACAGCAACAAACATGCAGCTAGCGTTGATTGTTTTTTTATTATCCCCAACCATGCACAGGGTTATTCGCATGGACTTCTCTATGGAAGGCGAAACAAACCAACAGCACCGAGGTTAATCGTCGATGATTCCACTTCCTGCTACCAAGTCAGTTACTGACTCCTCCTCCGCACCTTACATAATACTAGATCAGGTAGACAAAACACTGTCCACTGTAACCAGTGAGTGGGCACACGTATCGAGTGCCGAACCAGCGTCATGTATTCATAGTTTACAGACACACGGATGTCACACGCTACATCCACGTTCCATAGGCATCGATGATCAAAGATTTGAAGACACATCAGGTACTCAGGCCAAATGGGTCATGCATGACTTCAAAAGAAGAGAGCACCTTCATTGGGATCCTTTAAACACGCCATTTAAGAACACAGGTGTTTCCAATAGTGCCACAGATTCATTTCAGGGTTTTTCATCATCTTAGCAGTCTCATCTCCATTGCCACCAAAATGAGTGGATTGATCAAGGTTGCCATTTCGTCGTCATCAACGATTAGAGGACTACCAGGTAGATTAACTGATGATCCTGCGGCAGAAGTGTATTTTAAATGGGGAAGATCACCCACCAACGGACGGGGCAACTCCAGTGAGCTTGTTAAGGGTTCATTGCGTTAATTCACACCTGTTAGACAAGTTAATCTGTTTCCCCGGCAACATCTCATTACCCACACTTCTACAGAGTAGTATGGCAATTCTGGATTTTTTGCGCAGACTCGTCGCAACATCATCATCATCAACAGCAGTACATCAGCCATTTGAACTGATGCTTCGCTGACATACAACCATGAGGACCTATGAAAAAAAGAATAAGAAGAGGGAGAGAAGGGGGACTTGCCTGAAAACCTTAATACCCTAATCAAACATTCAGGGTCAAGGCGCCTACACCTTGTGTAGACAACATTCCGTCACAAACAGCTGGCTATCGTGCAAAGATAAGGCGGCATAGGCGAGACAGCTTCTTTGCGGCTTTCAATGCCACGCGTCATAATCAGCCATTACCCCGCAGATAACTCAGCACCAACACACTTTAAACAGACAATCCGATTAGGAGACGGCAGCAGACGCGCCACTGGTGTCGGTTGCGAGCCATGTCCTGCAAAGTCTCGAGCCAAGCACAAGGCGAGTCACGTGGACTCCAACCAGGAAGACGAGACGGACCAACGGCACCCAGTTTGGTCGTCAGTGACTTCATTTCCCGCTGCCAAGTCAACTTCTGTCCACCTCGAGTCTTGCGCCACCCTACACCTCGTAGACTGAACAAGGCCCTCCTAGGTAAGCGGTGACCAGGCATGCTTAGCACGTGCCCGAGCCAACACAACTTATTCAGTGCTATCTGTTTTTCTAGGGAGCTAGCATGATTATCACCGCCTAGTACTCGCCTACGCACATCACCGTTGCGGACACGCTGGTGTCATCCGACACCAGCAATGCTTCGCAGACTACGATGATCAAAAACTTGTAGGCGCCTCAGATCTTCAGAGCGAAGGGGCTAAGTCGCACTCCCATAAAGCAGGATGGTCCTCACTGTGGCCGTGTAAACACGGCGTTTCAGACGGAGGGAAATTGTTTCTGTCGCCAAAGATGCCGCAAGTTCAAGAAGGTAGTTCTGGCCTTTGCAATGCGTGAACTGACTTCAGTTTCTATGCGCGCATCGTTGCTGATGCAACTGCCAAGATAAGTGAATTGATCAACCACCTCGAGTTCCTCGTTAGCAAGCGTCAAGGGGTCATCAAGTGGCTGGTGGTCCTGCATCAACACTTTGCACTTTGAAGGTGCGAAGTGCATACCAAATAATGGGATCACTCTGGATAGGCTATTCAGGGTTGATTGTGCCGCCTCAACATTGTCGAAAAGCAAGACGATATCGTCCGCATAATCTAGATAAACTAACGTTTCACCAGGCAGCACTTCAACGCCTACATCGTGAGATTCCGCAAGGGAACACTCCATGATAGAATCCACGACGAAATTGAACAAAAACGGGGAAATCGGACAACCCTGACGAACGCCACTTATAGTCGAAAAGCTATCCGATAGGACACCATAGACCCTGACGCGGCCTGTAGTGTTCGAGTAAAGAGCACGAAGGATGTTCACATATTTCGTAAGAACACCTTTCCGCACAAGTATTCCGAACAGAATGCATCTATGGACTGAATAGAACGCAATCTTGAAATCAAGGAACCCAGCATTGTCGGTCCGCGATATGCGTGGCGCTGCTATAGTACCTGCTGCAAAGTGAATATTTCGTCTATACATCCACACCCGGGGCGGAAATCTGCGTGCCTTTTCCTAATCCGAAATACCGGTTAAACAGTAAGGTGATGAACGAGAATTGAGGCCAGTAATTTTATCACAACTGGCGTTAGGCTAATACACCTGTGGTTAGAATAGTCTGTGCGACTGCCCTTTTTATATATTGCCACTCTAATCGATTCGCTCCAATCAGCCGGGACAGTCTCTTCCTTCCATATACGTTCGAATAGGGAGGTCAGTGCTTTGCAGAGGACCTCACCTCCATCCTTAAATAGTGCAGGTGGGAGAGAATCCGGGCCAGCGGCACGAAAACGATTAAGGGCTGTAATCGCGTTTCGGATCTCGGCCTCCGACGGAGGCTCTAAACTAACCGTCCATGGCTCGTCCTGCATCACCTGAGTAGGAAGAGATCCGGGGACAGGGGGCCAGCTGAACTGATCTTGAAAGTGTTCCGCCCAACGAGCCATACGGCGCTCCTTATTGTGTATCAGCGCTGTCTCTGATTGTCTCACTGACGCCTGGTTTTCTGCGACCAGTGGTGCGGATCAGCTGGAAGAGCTTGCGGTAATTGCCTACTGCTCCTGCCTCCTCCATTTCTTGAGCCCGACTGGTCCACCAGGCTTCCTTGTCAGCACGTAGGCTCCGCTTTAGTTCACGCCTAATAGCCCGTCTGATCACATTGTGCTCAGAGCCAGCCGGAAGGTGTCTTCTAGCTTCCAACAGGTTCACCGACCTCTCGGATATCCAGTGACTGGTGCGGTGACCACTGATAGTGCCACAAGCAGATGCTCCTGCGTCGTGCATGGCGGCCGAGATCCTATTCCACTGAAGTTCAGTGTCATTAGAACAAGGCAGCGAGAGTTCGCTATGCAGTGCTTCTTGATAGGCTGAGACAATTTCTCAGTTGCCAATCGGAGGGGACGCTTTGTGCGCCTTCCGGTAAAGTTCATGGAGAAACGACAGCGTACCAAGGCATGATCAGAGTCGACACAGGTATTCCAGTACGAGCGGCAATCCGGAATGGATCCGCGCCACCTGTAACTTATGGCTATGTGGTCAATTTGGGTCCATCGCTGGCCAGCTACAGGTGGACGCCAAGTGTCACTTCGGCGCCCACTGTGTCTAAAAGCAGTGCTAGTAAGAAACAACTGGTGCTCCGCACACAGTTGCAGCAGACGCTCGCCGTTGTCAGTCCGTTCGGAGTTAAGTCCATACCTACCACCCAGCTGAGCTTCTCTAAGAGCTCAGACGCCCTACTTGTGCGTTCATATTCCCTGCAAGTACTATAATATCTGAACTAGTAGCGCAGCGTTGTAGGGCTTTCAGTTCGTGATAGAAAGTGTCCTTGACTGCATTAGAACTGCAGTCGGTGGGAGCATAAACGGAAATCACAAACAAACAGCGTTTTGTTTTCTTTCGTGAATTCACCTTAGCTGATGTCGTCAAACGGGCTGCACATAAACGGCTGTTCACCGGAATCCAATCAACCATCGATGACTCAGCCTTGGAGCTGTGAATGATACCTACACCAGCTTGACCCGTGAGTGCCGCATCGGCGTCTCCGGATGCGTGCAACCAATAGCGAGAGGATAAGCCGGGTGCAGTCAATTCAATAACCCCGTTAGGGTCATTAATCCTAGTTTCGGACACACAACACACATCAACACCCAGTGTGTCCAAGGTGCATGCGAGTGCAGCCTGCTGACCTGTTTGTCTTAAAGTGCGGACGTTGAATGTCGCCATCAGATATCTGCCGCATCTGGAATATTGCTACACAGTCGTTTCATTTCATTAGAACCCATTGGGGATGCGCGTCTAGGAATTCCTGCTGGATCCGAACCCATAACTTTATTCTTGTGAGCCAGCAACTTAAATGAGTGATAACGACCGAACGCCATAGATGGTTCTTGGCTGCGATATAGCGTGGATCATCTTCACTACTTCGCAACATATTCCGACGCGATCTGAGCTGTTCTAGCATTAGGTTTACACAAGACTCACGTGGGCACCGGCTTGCATAGGTAATCAGTCGCTCACCACCGTTGGGCACTCGGTAACCATATCTGTGGCACCTACCGCAAGAGTGGCCGCGTCGCAGATTCGTACACCTTAACATGCTTGTTCTTGATTTGTCAAAAGCCTCACAATAACTCCTCCAGTGTTCTTGCTTCTAACTGATTCATAGCTCATTGACGAGATATTGTTTCGCTCATATCCTAGACGCCTGCAACATTGCCGAAACGTCCCTTCGCGATCGTATTTGTGACAAGGACTCTTATATCGGCAATATGGTTTCGATTTCCACCTTTGCGCATGTTTTGTTCTTGTGACTGACTTCGTATTAGCCGTTGTGGCATCCACGTCTACCGCTCTCCGTGTAAATCCAACCTAGACAAGCCACCCCCTACTGTTACCACCTCTTGTGTTTGTCTCTCCTACCGTACTTGTGGTAGCAACAAACTTGGCCGAACTAAGGGAAAGCTGTCCACTAGGGTTACAGAGCGCATTCCACAAGGTAGGGTCGTCAATGGTCCCAGACTGCCGGTTTTCTCTATTACGCAGCACATCCTGGACTGCACTACGTGCAGAAGTCCTCATGAATTGTTCAAAATAATTAACCAACAGAGTAATGCCTGTTTGCTCCATTTTAACGAAGCTACAGCTATTCTGCGGCCGGAGCCCAATTTGTGCCATCCTTGCCTTGCCCTAGTGAGACTATTGCTCGTATTTCTTTGCACTGAATGACCTTGGACATTGCTTCCTTCTGTACGCAATGCGATAGTTTCACGGAATGTATATAAATAGCTGATAAGCATGCTCGAACTACTGGAATTCAGTGTTTCCTGTTAACATGTTTTTTCCCTTTTCTATTTTGAAACTCCATGTTTTTTTGAATTCGCATTTGGTATTTTTCTCCATTGTTTGCTGATGATTTTCCTTTCTTTTCTCCCCTCTACTCGATAATTTGTGCCGTGCTTCGTCTGTTTCCGCGTTCGGTGATGCTCGCACCTTTATTGTCCATCCCTTTTCCACCTACGTCACGTCTCATTACCTCTTTATTGTGCTTACCTGGTGCACTTTTTCTCTGCTACGTTGTTATTCAAGACGTTCCAGTTATTCTAACCCACGGTGAATACGCTTTTGTTCCTCGTTTCCATACCGCCGCAAACCCACCTACTTTGATCACGTTTAGTGGTACTTCAAGTACCATACAGTCAGATACCATACGTCCCGACTTTCGAATATGGGCCTCGGGATTCGCATCGCCTGTTAGAACCAGTCGCCTCGATGACCTTATTGAGCGACCTCTCAGTGCGTATGGTCCGTCACTTGACCCCCATGCGATCGAAAACCACTTCATGAATCATCCAAATACACCCCCGCTGCATCAAAAAAGTACGCTCATTACTTTTTCCGCATGCGAGTCGGGTTCATTAATGTCGCTTCTTCCGACGTCCTACCACCCCTCCTTCTGCACAACAGTTGGAGTAAATCCCCCAACGAGTCCACCTAAACCTTTTCGCTCTTCTGACTGTGAGCT